CAGGAGATTTTAATTTTATATTTTACTTTTACACACTATTATAAATATTATGATGTATAGTAGGATAAGTACCTAACAAATATTTAATAAATAGGTAGGTACATACTACATAATAATAAAATATATCATAAAAAAGTTTTTTTTATAGATTTATATTTTTATTAACCACAATATAGTATTGATCACAAAATTTGAATTATAAGTGGAAATGGTATAAGGTAATATATATTATAAGCTATAGGTACCTAATTGTTCTAAAAAAGCCACGCTTTAAAGCTAAAAACATCACTTAGATAAATAAATAAATATGTTTTACAATATAATTAAAGATGGTAAATACTAAATATGTATAACTGTTTATATAATAAATTAATACAAGTTAATAGTTTAGTTATGTCAACCAAAAGTAATAGGTAACCTAATAATCATTTGTTGTCATTATTGATTATGTTTTTTTACAATATTATTTTACATTCTACTCCAAAATCTAATACGTTTCATACAAATGGAACATTACAGTCACATACAAATCATTCCATACATTAAAATAATTAATTTTAAACCTAAAAAGTAATTAACATAAAAATTAGGATTTACATATTTTATTTAAGGTAATGACTCCGAGGTTTTACTCGCCTAACAAAATAATGTCAATAGATATTGCTTTTAACATTTTTTATTTGATATGTATTTGAATTATTTTTAAGAATGTGCATAAGAACAAATATCTGAAGATTATTTTTATAAAAGTAATCATATAGATATACTTCAATGCCTTAGTTTCATATCAGATTCAATAATTGTGCATAAAATGGAAAAAAAATATTATCTCATTTAGAATTATTAATTAAATAAAAATGAATTGATGTAGATATAGAATGATTAATACAAATTAAACGCTATTTTAGTTAAGGTTCGGTTAAAGCACCACCATCAAAAAAAAAAAAAATATATCTTTTCTTTGCTTCACCCTGTTTTGCAAATTTATTTAAACCAGAGCCAAATCTAATTAATTAAAATTAATTAAATATCTACTTCAGTAAGGCATATTTATTAAAAAGCTTAACAAAATGTTTAATGCAAGTATATTGTGTAAAAATAGTTAGGTAATTATTCTTAAAATAAACAATTTTTTTAGCTATTATATTATACATCTCAATATGTTTTAAATTATATTCTGATTTTTCAGATTCTTTAACTAGAAAAACAATTTAATTATGCTCATAAGAAAATTACAAACTAGGGTATTAGGAATAATACATCTAAATACATGCTATTTTGATACAATACATTTTATTGTAAGATTTGGACTTAATATCATAAAAAAGGTAAAAATTATTCTACGAGGTTATTAATATTAACTGTTTTAAAGGACTAGACTGTTACAAAACAAAACAAAAACATAATAAACCTATAAAAGTGAACTTTAATTGTGTTTACAATCAACATGAGAAATTAAATTAACAAAAAGTGTAATCATGCATTTTAATTTAACACTTATTTTTAAATAAAATTGTATGAAAATCTAATTGAAAATATAATTGGTTAAGATAAGTTTACTGAAATTTAACAGAGAAAGAATAGAATATAATTTATAAATACTGAAGTAATTTAATTAAGTCTAAAATTGTATTTGTGTTTTATAAATTGATATTAAACATAATATAAATAGTATTCACCATAATTTATTTTATTTTTTTTTTTGTTCAAAAGAAGCCAAAATTTTAACAAATAAAATAATTGGACAAACACAAACAAAATAATAACAATCAGCAATAATTGTCAGTTCAAGAATTAAAGATCCATATATCAATTTTACATTAAATATGATTATAATTTATAATTAACAGTACCAAAATGTTGACAAATCCAATTGTTAATAGTGACAATAAAAAAAAAAAAAAAATTTAAAAAAAAACCCTGTCAAAAAAAGTTAAGATCATAGAATATTACTGGTTATGTTCAACTAACTAAGTTTATCTTAAGATTACTTTCAATACATAAATCACAATACACACAGATAATTTGCCTATTAATTATTATACATTATTCAATTACATAAATTATTTAACAACAATTCAACTTAATATATTCAAAATCTTATACCTAATTCGATTGTCAAAACATAATTGAAAAAATATAAATTGCTTAGATGTTTGGTAACCTAAAGAATCTTTTATACTACATACAGGTAAGCTAATGCCGTGGAATAAATAATTTATATAAATTAATTACAAATATGTACTGGCCATTAAATCTAAATAGAAAATAATAATTCACAAAAATAAACAAAATTATTATTGTTATTAAACACAAAAGTGAAAACATTTTGGCACAAATAAAAATGCTGGTGTGCTGCACTTGAGTATTAATAGGTATTGATTATATATTAAACTACCTAGAAAATATATTTTAGGTAGGAACTTGCTCAATTTTTAGGGTTGTATATTGAAATAAACATTTTAGCATATTGAATAATAATTTATAATTATAATATAGATTTTTTAAAGAAATAAAATACCTATTACAGTTAAAAAAAATACACAAGAAAATAAATTGAAATATGATTGATTTGATGTTTAACAATTGAAGGAATGTTAGAACTATTTGTGTAAGCATATTAAATAAACTTTAAAATGCAAAATTATACATTTAACCATAAAAAATTATTAGTAATAAAAAATAAAAGAATATTGTACAATTTCCAATTAATGTTTTATTAAAAATGTATTTTTTTTGAAACCTAATATTATTAAAACAGGTTTTGTATATAGTATCTATTCAATAAATTACAGATTATTAAAAATAATAAATTTCCTAAATTTTAGTTTATTATTATACCTAAACAGTTTATTAATAAATTAAATACCAACAAAATAATTATTAGGTATATAAATATTTTAATCAGTTTTAATAAAAATTACAGAATTATAACATTAAATTAGTAGTGAATTTTTATATAATTTGGTAATAATTAATTAAGCTACAAAAATAACATTAAAAGTCTAATGGATGATGTACTGAATACTTTATAATAAAAAATTTAATAAATTAAATGATAAATTTTAACCCTATCCTTGGGCTCTAAATAAATAGATCAATGTTAACAGTATAGCGCACTAAGTTCCGACAAAAAATTAAAAAAATCTTATAACTGCATTGATCTTTTATCAGTTATCATAGAAATCAATTTCTATCAGTTATAGGAATATTCATGATTTCCATTGAAATCTATACAATTAGAATAAACGTACTGTTATTCTATTTGATAGAGACATCCAGTAGATTTATGTATTATTTACTTATACTTTAGACTGAACAATAAATTAATTCATAAATTCATCCAGATTTACATAGTTATTTAAATTAATCGTTACCAGCTTTTAATCGTAAACGAGCAAAATCTTCAAAAATTATATCTTCATCATGAGATGGTGCAGGGCTTTCTTCATCTAATTCAATCAAATTATCAACACGTACTCCGTTGTCATCAATTGCTGTACCAGAGTTTACAACATTATTGGCTATTGGAAGTACTTCCTCTTCAGGCTTGGGGTGCATCAAAATAAATGGAAGTTCAGCTGTCAATTCTCCTGCTAAAGCGCCTAAGCAAAGTTTTACCTTCACTTTATATTGAACAATAATCCCTAGATTTTCTTTTTGTGAAGGATTGCTCACTATTGTAGAAGAAGCAAGATTTGTATCTTCATGCTTTAACTGCCCGTCCAAAGCTAGGCCACGTTTATCTTTGTTGTTGTGCAAAGTAGGTTTTACAGTATATACTTTAGACAAAGTGAAACCAGGACCAACAGGGCAACCGTCTTCACTCTCTAATTCAGCAACAGTACATTTATATTGGGCAGTGGAAAACAGACATATATCAGCAAATTGTCTAACAAACACTTTTACTTTTTTTACAGTTCGATTAGAATTATTAGCTATGTGGACATTTACTGATATACTTTCCCCGTGGTAGTAAAGCTCTTTGTCCAAGGATGCTTCTAAGTATAACTTGTTTGGGCTCATAACAAATTCTTTATATACTTCAACTGATGGTTGTACTTCCTCTTTTTTGGGAGCATACATAATTTTTCTAATAGCCAGTCTTATTGAGTTTCTCTTGTGAGGTTTGTCTTCAGCTGTATCGCCAACAAATGCTTTGAACTCATAGTCTACTCCACATGGTTTTCCTGTATCACCTGCAGCTGGTTGCAGCGTAACAGATGCTGGACAATGTGGTGGCAATTCAAAATAAAATGGTATAGCATTTGGACCAAGTTTCTTGATCAAACGTTCTTGTAGCCTAGTTGGAGTCCGTATATTACCAACAGGATATATTTGTTCAGATGCTATATAAAGATCTTTTCGAAAAGTCAAGCCCAACACATCTAAGTCTTCGCGGCCATATCGAAAAGCGGCTAAAACATGGCCAAATACCTTTCTTCCTTTAACGTAATCGGGATCAACCAAAACTACACCATCGATAGGGTCAACATTGGTGATGTGATCAACAAAATCTCTTTTGCCCAAGTAAACTGTAATTTTACCGTTTGGCGAGCTTTTCTTAAACACCCTGGTTGGTTGTCTAAGATTACCTCGGGTAACAGAATCTGATTCAACATTGTTCTTATCCATAGTTATTTTAATAGGTATATCAAGAGTAATATATTACAATAATAATATAATATTTTTTATTGAACGATTATGACTATTTACAATAGCTGCTAAACAGGGTGACACTCAGGATTGGGTTGACGGTGCGACATGGTGACATGTATGTTTTTATAGAGTAATACTACGAGACAATGTTTCTCTGCATTTTAACGACGATTGTAAGAATTAAACAAGATTACTATTATGCAGTTATGGATAGTGGTGGTGCTAGAAGTAGTAGTGATGGTGGTGATTGACAGTAATAATAGTGGTAGACGATATAATTGTACGAGTAAATATACGAGTTATGTTTTTGAGCTTTTTTGGCATAAGATTTTGACACTTACTTGCAGATGTTTTCGATTTCGTCATATAACTTGCGATCAACGTCGTTTTCACCAGTGCTGGTCAAACGTTCGATGAGTTGAGCTGCACGGCTAGCTATATTGTAGTCCAGCGTCATGCTAGGCCAACAGCGAGTATCTGGCTAGAGAGCAATGCCTTTGTAAGAACGTCTATCGCGTATGGTAAGCGCCAACGATAGCCTGACAAGCGATGGCGAGTTGAAACTGTAGTGACGACGTATTGGTAAACAGATCACAGATGCGATGATCGGTATAGTTTTTCGGTCACTGATTGTCGCGACGACTAGCGTTAAAGATGTGCGACAGCGGTTGTGCACTGTGCAGCGACGATGAACGAACGCGCCATCGGTGACGAGTGTTCGCAACGACGGCAACACCTACGCGACGTTTACACGGGAAATCGATTCGTAATAATAACAATAAAATTTGTCTCGCGCTATTTAATTGTTATACAGTCAATAATACAAAACTAATGACTATTATTGTTTACTTATCTGTTATTAAATAGTAATCATAATAGGATGATTATTATAACACAATATAAGGCGAGATGATATAATAATTATATTATTATTGCTATCAACTATATTCTGTTTGTGTCTGTGAAGTACGATGATTTTTCGTTCCGCGCTCGAATAGTAATAATAATAATAATATGATACGCGCATACTACGACTGTCAGTGCGATTAGCGCGTGCGTTTGTATGTATGCGCACGCGCAAAAGAATACGTGATTAATATTATTAATAATGTGCATTATGCGTATGTAATACTGTATTACTGTAATATAATAATATTTAACTTTTATGATATAATACTATCGTAATATTTGTAACATAAAATATTATTATTTAATATTTATTAATTTATTTTATTTTACGTGGTACATGTTTTGCAAATCTTAATGCCCTTATGCCTGTTTGATTCATACGTTTCCTCCCGCAATCGAATTATTATAACATAGGAACATCACACGAACATAGAATTTGAATTACTAATTACTACAGTATAATAAACTATGCAATATTTTTGTCAACAAAATAACTTAACCAAATTAAGCGCAAATCTAGGAATATGAAATGGAGGGGGCTAATTTTTATTTATAGTAAGTCAAAAAGTATATAATTTTAGTAAATATATAAAATATTAGCATTTATAAATTTTTAAATAATAAACATCAAAAATAATCAGTAATATCGTAATATATTATTTTAAATTAAAAAAAAATTAGGTATTGACTATTGAGTGGTATTGATAAGATAATTTTAAAATAATTTTACATTTAATATCAAGATAATAAAGTTAAAGGGATTTTTAGGTTTTTATGTTGTCTCACATGTTTCTTTCTAAAATCGATACTGAGTTACACACAAAAACAAAATAGTAAGAAACTTGGAAGTAGAGTAGATAAAAAAATAATATCGCGTCTACTAAACGATTTACGATACCTCAAATTCAAAATTCAAAATACGAATTAGATTTATGATAGACTATCTTAAATCATGATTGTGCCATAATGGTAAATACCAGATAATGATTTCAATTCTCAATCTGCGGTGAAGCTTTTTAGTTTTCACCGATATTGTTATTAAATTATTATGTTGTTAATATTGTTTATTATAAAAAAATAGTTATTATCTACTTTATAATGTAAATAGTATTCGTCGTGATAGTTATTATTATGATAAATAATCACAGTGTCCACCTAGCACCTTCTTGACTCTACGGCTAGTAGCTAGTGTTATACTAAAGTTTAAGCCCACCACGTAGTACGTTTTGTTTTCGTTCACATTGGTATGTATGATGTATCTACATAGCCTACTATCCTTGTACAATACAATTGACAATTGATTATGCACTCGTATGCATTTAATATGTTATTTTGTATGCAAATTATGATTTTTACGCGTTTAAACTTCATTGCTGATGAAATTATGTTTTGAATTATAAATCGTTATAAGAGCTACAAGTGATTATTATAGATATTTATTATTTAATAATAGATATTATCAACTATATTCATTTTATATTGTCGCAATTATTTTATCTACCGATTTTCAAAATTTTACAATTTTTTTTATTATTTAAAATTTTAAATTATTGCCCTAAATATTTAATTGTTTTTCAATTAAAGTTCTCAAAATATTTATAATTTTTACCAAACCTTATTTTTTATGAGGTATTAAATATTTATTACATAAAAGCTGTTCCTTAGCATACAAAGCATTTATGATTAGCTCAATATTTGTAAATCACAAATCTCCAATGATTGGTATTTGTTAAGTACTGTACATTTATAAAAAAAATAAAAAATAATACTTCAATTTGTTATAACACCATTAAAATATTATTTGTTATTAAAAGAATAAAAAATAAAATATATTGTTATATTTACTGAATGCTAAATTGGTATATAATATATTGCATTATACAATACCTATAATTTATTAAAAATAATTGAATACCTATGCAATTTTTTATACCTTATATTAAAAATTGTTTTGTATATTTAATTTTTTTAATAATATATTATATATTTTGTTATACACATTGATATTGTCATTTTCACAGGTAAAAAAAAAAATGCTGTCGTTAATAGATCCTCGCTTTGAATGTTCTATTTGCCTTAATTGTCTAAAAGATCCAATGCTGACAAGATGTGGACATCGATTTTGTTCTGAGTGTATAAGTACATGGCTTAAGTAAGTTAAAACAAAATAAATTATGTATTTAATTATTTATTTAGTTATTATTTATGGATCATACTGTTTTTAACTATTGTGTTCTATTGATTTCTAAAACACTTGACGTCTTAGATTACTAACCCTAGTTTTTTATATTACTTAGAATCCAAATACATCAACATTTATAACAAAGTTATTATATAGATTTTTTTGCTGAATAAAACACCTAGGTTCTAAACTTACCTATGTTTATATTTAATAATTATATATGTTACAATAAATCATAATATCTAAGTAATAATGTCTTTTACCAAACATCAATGATAAAAAAATTATTAGGTTACTAACATAACTCTTAAGTAACTAGTTATAAATCTATAAATATTGGTATATATTTTAAATTATACATAAAAATATCGTTTTTACAATAATCACTAGTAAATAACATAAGCGGTGATAGCAGTTATGTCAATGTTTTTCAGAAACATACATATTGTATGTTTTATCATTTTCAAAAATTAAAACATATACAATTTTTGTTGAGTTCTATATTTTATTATATTACAAATAATGTTTTTAATAAATTTATAGATAACGTATAAAATGTTAATTTTGTTCTTTTTTTTATAATCTGCTTTACCTATATCAACATTATTTTTGTTTTAGACGTAAAAGTCAAATCTGTCCAATTGATTTATTACCGCTTACTGTAGAAGGTTTGTTTCCTGATAACTACACAAAACGAGAAATAGATGAGCAAAAAGTTGCTTGTTTAAATACTGGTTGTAATGTAACAATACCATTGTTGGAAGCTGATCAACATTATGCCTCATGTGGATTTAGTAAAAATCAAGTTAGTTAGTTCTATAAATGTTTAAATTATAATTATTAATCAGTAATTTTCTATAAGTATTATCTAACATTTTTATATCCTAGAACAGGGGTCGGCAATTAAATTCTATGGAGGTCCAGAAAATCAAAAAAAAAAAATTTCGAGGGCCAGTAAAAACTAAAAACTCAGATATTAATTAATAATTGTTGTGTTATCGCAACTATTATTGTAAATAGCAATAAACAATAAACACCATCGTAATCTCTAAATACATCATAAAATAGATAAAATATATATTATGTGTGGAAAACCAGCATTATTAAAAAAAAAATATTTTTTGTGGTCCAATTATTTTTCTTTCGCGGGCCGCCTATTACCAACCACTGCCCTAGAAGTTTAACTTCCAAATTAACTCATCTTACTTATTTAAAATATCAAATAATTTTGGAATTAATTAATACCTATTGAGAAAATTGAGTACCATGAATTATATTCAAATCAAAGTTAAGTTATTAAAATAATATTAATTTGATTTGTGAAATGCAGGTAAATGGAGTTTCTGATAATCTCTGCCCATTTCATTTAATTGGATGTAAAGATACGATAAAAGATAAAAATGAATTATCAAACCATCTCGTTATGAGTGTGCATCGACATGTTACTGTAAGTAAACTTAATTAATATTTTTTTTTAAATCAGATATTTAAAATTTTATAAATATTTCTAGCTACTTACAAAATCTCATATTGATTTTATGAATAAATTTCAAATCAGAGATGGTGCACGTTCTAAAGCTTTAGAAGCTACACAACTGTGGGATGCAAACAAAGATCCTAATTCTGAAAAAGCTTTACTTTGGTGAGTTATATACTTATTTATTTAAATATTATATTATACATTTTTATTTGATACTCATCAATAACTTAAAAGCAAAATGTAAATAACTGTACCGTTGATATGTTGTTTCTCATTTAAAATCCTTAAATTTAAAATATTAACATTAATTAGGTATCAAACTTATAATTTCTATATTTTGTCTATATTTTACAATTTTAATTATTATTATTTTTACTTACAACAGTAATTTATATGAAAGAATAGTTGTATTGGAACAAAGTAATATTGAGAAAGATAAAGATATAGAACGTCTGAATGAAAAAACTGCTATCAAGGATAAAGATATTGAACGACTCAGTCAAATGGTTAATAATTTAATCATAGAGTTTGCACAATCTCAAAATGCAATATCATTAATTACATGTAATGGTGTGTATATATGGAGATTTGAAAATTTTATGGAGTCTTTAAAATTAATGAGAGAAAAACCATTACAAACACGATACTATACTCCAGGATTCTATACATCTTCTACTGGATACAAGTAATTTATTTCAATACAAAACATCAGATGTTTAAAAAAATTTTTTTTTTAATTTTAGAGTATGTGGTCGAATAAATATGTCATCGGACAATCGTAATCTTTCTTTATTTATTCACATGATGCGTGGTGATTATGATGATACTTTAATTTGGCCATTTTCTGGTCATATTACTTTATCTTTAATCCATCCAACAAATCCAATACAAACCATTTGCTTAAAAATGGAATCATCAGCTGAATCTGAAGCATTTAGAAGATGTTCTTTCGGAAATAATGGTAATGAGGTTCCTTCTTTAAATCCAAGAGCTTTTGGTTATACTGAATTTGTTGCCATTGATGAAGTTCTTCAAAATGGGTTTATTAAAAATGACTCAATTGTGATTAAAATAATTGTTGAATGTATTTAACTTTTGATCTCTCAAGTAAAACTAATGTTGTACCACGCTTTTAAAAATATTATATGTAACTATATCCGTCCATATATAAGTTTATTTTAGAACCGTTAAATTTAAATATATACATTTTATTGAATAAATTAAAGTTTTACAAAATGTGTGTTATCAATCTTCAGTAACTGGCAAATTAGAATTTATACGATTATCCTTGATTTTATAATCCTTAGCCAGATCTATATCCTAAAAATAAATAATTATTTTTAATTACAATATTAAACAAAAATCTATTATTGTTTCTTACTGAACGCGGAATCAACCAATCCAGAAGTCTTAACAATATATGCATAAATGATACTACCAGTAGAAATGGATATACTCCAGTTGGTATGTAACTAAAATTTAAATAATATGTTTTTAATAGAGTGAGCAAACGATATAATTTTAAATATCAATATTGTTTAGTTTTTCTCAATATCGTATTGCAATATATCAATATAAAATACTAAAATATTTATATTTTATGTTTATAACATTAAACAATAAACATTAAATGAATTCATCATTACAGATCTTTACTGTATGTTTTATTGATAAATTACTTACTAAAATAACTTAATAAAAAACAAAAAATATCAAATAGTTAATAATTATTGAGCTTAATCAAATTATTAAATAATAATCCGTTATATACTATTATACTAATAGCTAAATACTTATATAATATATAGTGAAAAGATTGGATTTTAACTATATCACTAATATTTAATTCAATATCGATATTGAAAAAACAAAAAATAAGTCACAATATTAATATCGTTGGCCAACTCTAAATTTTAATAAAACAATTAATTAATTTAGTTTTAAGGTATAATACCTGCGTAATTGTTTTCCTAAACTTTTTGGTGATTCTAATGATACCATATTATACACTATTTCTGTTCTTTTGGCAATATTCATCCAGTTATACAGTGATTGCACTTTTTGATGACATTCAATTGGTGGTACTCCGAGTTCACTATTTACTTGATTTATAGCTTTATATAATCCTTGGAGTATAGCTAAAAATTAAAATAATTTTTGGTAAAACAATTAGGTAATTATAACACAATATATACAAAAAAACAAAATTTTTTTTAACAAATAATACTATTTTTAGTTTATGCAGCATTGCTATCAACATAATTTTATGAATACAAATTCATTATAACACTAAATTAACATGACTTACATGGAACATTTGGTTCAGTTAAAATTATTAGTTCTGGAGGTAATACTTCTGGTATACCACCTACTCTTGTACTAACAATCTTTAATCTTAAAATTGATAATAAATATTAAATTGCATTATTAACAAAATCAAATATATATCAATAGAAAAAAGTTAAAACCATACCCACAAGAAGCAGCTTCAACAATAGCCATACAATATGCTTCTGTTAAGGATGTATTTAAAAATATATGTCCACGATTAAGCACATTACATACTTGTGAATGCTCCAAGCTACCTAGTAATGTTACTTGTTCACCAATATTCAAATTGTTACGTATGTCTTCAAGTAGTTCACGTTTAGGACCATCACCTCCAATAATAAATTGAACCTATAAAATGTATTAATTAATTTCATTAAGAATGGGTAAATAAAGTTAATATTCTTTTATGAGCAAATACCTTGTGATTTTTTAAGCAAACATCAGCAATAATTTGAGCTAACAAATCAACACCTTTTCTATAAACTAAACGACTAACCACAACAATTGTAACTGTGAACACAATTATTAAATTTCAATTAGTATTTTTAGTATTATATTCTATACAAATAATTACTTTTATTTTTTGTTCTTAATTCCAATTTTGGAACAAATGCTGTTGTATCAACAGCATTTGGTATGACTGAAACTCTATGATGGTTAACACGAGCTCGTAATACTGTATTTTCTTTACTAGAAAATAATCGTTTTAATATTATATACCTACATAATTTAAGTAATTAGATTAATCACTACCCAATATGTGATACACAAATGCAATGGTTACAATCAGCTAATGACATTTCTAAAAATTTATTTGTTATAATAGCTGAAGTGTCAGCAAATCCAAATAGTGAATGATCAGTGAATACTGTCTAGAAATTAAATATTTGTATTTATTTTATTTTACACATGATTGCTGAATTATTTTTACTTGGATGCCAAGTAAACGACCAATCATCATTGTTTCATGAGCTAAAGTTGAAAATGCTGAATGCCCGTGTATAATAGTAATTTGTTCTCGAACTAAAACATATCTTATCAAAGGTAAAGAACAAACCATTGAAGGTAAAACACATTGGTTATAGAATGGTTTGATTGGCAAATAATATACCTGAAATTAAGGTTTTATTATTCATAAAAAGTATTAAATAGTCTAAACATATATATTTGATTTACTTTCAATCCATTTGTCATGTAGCGTACTCCAACTCTATCTTGGTATGAATGAGTTAAGACAATAACTTTATATCCTTTCATTAAAAGACATTGCGATAAATTGAATATGTGTTCTTCCACTCCACCCATATTTGGGTAGAAGAAATCTGATGCCATACTAAAGTTATATTTTAAACATTAATTGTACAACTCAAGAATGTCTATTATTCATAAAATAATAAAATTGTTTAGAAACATAATATCCAGCTCTATTAACTATAAGAATTTCTAATATTGTGGAAAATGGCCATACGCCTAATAGTAAACTAATAAATAAATTTAAATTAATGAGCGATTTTCAAAATTTCTAGTCCAATGAACTCCTTATACAGGAAAAATAAAATGGTGAATGTAAATATATAGATATTGATTCATTATCTTAGCATTTTCACCAAGTATTTATTTTTTTTTTTAAATAATCAATAAAAATTCAAAATTGAATGTTGTCATTCTTAACATACATCCCACACACATTTCTGTATCAACAGATAGAATCATTACTATTTACCAATCATTGGCCATGACTTGGAATAATTGTTTAACTAAATAGTAAAAGAAAGCATAATGAATGAATTAAAATCGACGACAGCAATAAATGGGATTTCATAGACTAATTATTTAAATAATGTGTTATACTTGATATTTTTCCATACAATTACTATTGATTAGTATAAAATTAGTCAGTTAAGAGTAACCAGTTGCATTTTAATTAAAGAAAAATATTTTTAATGCCATTCATGTTGTAGACTTGCAATAACACTGAAGAGTAAATAGCACATAATTTCTAACTCGGTTACATACCAAATTTTATGTTTCATTTTGAACTTCACACACTTTGACCGTAAAATGTTGGATAATTCAGGAGAATCTGAAAAGGATTTTGATTACAATAATAATAATTTGACTGCAAGTTATAAGTGCAGCAATACTTTATTCCACCTCAGTGATCTGTTAGTAACTAGGTATCAAGTATTCACTAATTAGTAATAATTTAGGAAAAAAATAAAATATTAAATTAGAAATATCAAGTAGAATATTGCAGTTGCAACATTCAAATATTATTATTCATTATTTCCGAATTGCAGGCGAATGGGACGAGTAATCATACCGATCACAGCACTACACCAGTAAGTAGTAACTATATAGTATGTACCTACTATATACTAACTAGAAACTAGTGAGCTAACTAATGAGTAGTAACTAATGACTAAGTAATAAGTAGGCAACTGGCAAATAGACAACTACCTGCAGCTATTGACTATTCAATTATCTAAAATTCTAAAGTGAGTTATATAGTTCCATAGATTGACGCAAGCGCCCAACGTCCACCATATCATTCCATGCGTCTCGAAGATAATAATTTAATTATTAATTTATTTATTATCTGGGGCGTTCCATTGCTCCACTTGCGCAGGCGCTCAACCTTTTCATTTATATGACTTTTTCGACACAGTAAGTTATGGTCGTTTCTTATCACTCTTATCGGTAATAGAATATTGTGTGTTAATGGCGGGAAGTTAGATACAGCTTTATAGGTGATGAGTGCGGCATGTTTTTTTTTTAATTTTTATTAGAAAATATTCAATCGGTGTCAAATAAATAAACAACAAAGCATTTATCAGCAGGTACTTAGTTGGGCTGGATCGGGCCAGTTTGTATAATCAATGGTTTAACCAACATCATATAATAAAAATGTTAAATTAAAGTAAAAAAAGTGGTCAAACTGATATCCTACTGGCTACTGACTATTGTACCGTAGGTATCAAACGCGAGTCTCTGGATATGTAAAACTTGAATTATATATCTACGAAAAACGATTCTGACTATTTTGAGTGAAGTGTAATCTGTTAACCTATAAGACTATAATCTATATCATTAAGTATATTAGTATGTATCTAATTATCTAAATATATTTTAGATCTAAGCAAAGCGATAAATGTATTGATTTTATAATTATGTGTGTGTTTTTTTTTTCTTATTGTTAGTGGTAGGTACCTACACGATAAATAGTCAACAAAATGTTTCATTATTAAAAGTGGTTTTGGATAGAAAATTGGTTCTAGTTTGTAGTTTGTACCTTTAAGAAGTTAGAAAAACAAACAACAAATAGAGAAAAAAACTAAAATTTTTACCTAAATCCAATTTTATTTTTCTGATGTAACTTAAAAACAAATAATAACCCTAAAAACTTGAAATCTTTACAAAATACTTATATATGTGCATAATATATTATTATGATATAATTTTCAAAATGTTTTAAATATTTTACAGTTATTTATAGGCACGACAAATTTTTTTATATTTTTAGTGTTTCTTTCTATAAATAACAATACAAATATATTGAATGGATGAAAATCCATAAAGATTTGAAACAAGATTCCACATAAGTTGTTCTTACATCTGTATAAAAATATTAAAAATGTATTTGCACGATTTTTTAAGTATACATTTAAAGTTAAAAATTTTACAAAATTTGTCAAAATCGCAGTACTACGGTAATTACATACTATTTTGTAGTTAAAAATTCAAAAAATGTTTTGTTTTATTTTAAGTCTTGAAAATTAAATACAATATTCATCAGGAATAGTTCTAACTTAAATCATAAAATCTAAGAAAATATACAAGGATTATTATTTTTAAT